ATATGGAAAGATAGTATCAATAGTTATAGGCACCTTAGATGCAATCCCCAAACATCTGGAGCACCACTTGAAGATTATTTGCATTGACAAAATCACCATCAGTCAATTGCAAAAGGCAGCTTTACTTGGACCAGCTTACATTTTATTTATTTTTATTTATTTGTTTAAACCATTTATATGGCTACCCAACTCACTCATGGTGACTCCGGGTGGCTTACAAAAATTACATCCTGCAACAATACCTTTAACACCATCGAACAACATCTGCCTATCCCAGGTCCTTGGGAAGGACTTGATAGGTGGATAAAAATGCCAAATCCAGTCTGAACATCTGGCTGTGCGACCAACAACAACAGCAACAACAACAACAATAATTTATTAAACTTTTATGCCACCTGACTCTCAATGACACTGGGTGGCTCACAACAATCAAACAAAGAAGTAAGTTTGGGCCTTCATTGTGCTTCTTTCTTACTTGCCTCATAGGGCTTTTGTGGGGATAGGGGGAAGACAACTTTGCATGCTGCCCTGGACTCTTTGGAGCATGTGTGGGATCAAGCAAAAAAGTTATAAACCAATTTCCCCCAAACAGGTATATTTGTTTATCTGATGGGCAAAAGTCTGGGGAAAAGTATTGCAAGCAAATTAAAGATGTCAGTTTGGTTTATGTAGGCGGATGCAGACATTGGTCTTTCTTGGTTTTTATTACGGTAAGATCTTGATTCCAACTTGACCACTTTAGCAGACAACAAATTCTAATTAGGTTTTCTATAGAAGATCCTGAGGAACTCATATTTTATGTGCTCAGTATTGACCTTTGAGTAATTTATCTCACTTTCCTGCAATTGCGCTTACAAGGATGATGCTATGCTGATAAATCAGCACTAATATCAATCTTAGTTTTTCAAAATTTTGGGGTATATAAAAAAAGAAAAGGCAGGGGCAACATTTTATAATATACACAAATGGGCTGGATTATGCCCTTAGTATGAATGGATATTGGGTCTTTCCTTAAATCTATATAAGTGCCACTAAAATTCATTTCATCAAAGAACATTTTTAATATATGTATAATGAGATTTCCACTAGATGGCCCCAAATATCTTATAAATAAACTTTCATTGCTTTAGAATCCTGTTTTAAAGAATCAGCCAGACATAAATATTTGGCCTGAAACCAGGTTTACATAGTTGATTTAGGAGGTTAGTGAATACATTGTAATTTTGGTATGTTACTGTACTAAGAATGATATTGGAATGTTTTTACTAGATAATATACAACAGTTATAATAATACTTAAAGCAACAATCTACAGTTGCTGCGAATAGTTTCAGTGATATATTGCTGTAGAGATAGAAATAGGACATGAAACCAAAAAGTACATGAATTTTCCAGAATTATATGGTATAATAGTATTCTTCACCCCTCCAGGTCAGTTGTATTATATAGCTTTTCATGTAACAGAGCAGATATACCCTTAAGTAATTTGCTTAAGGGAATTAATAACAGCATTGAGAACAATCCTTTGCATAGCAACACTTGTTAGAAATTCCATCTCCCTACATACATGTATGCTTGGAAAGAAAATGGAGGAATGGAAATTCTGGAATAGCGATATTGCATGCATAAATTATCCAAACTTTCTTTTTTTTAATTAAGATGTTTGTATCCTAATCTCAGTTGTATTTACTTAGAAGTATAAGTCCCATTGATTTCATTTTAACAATGTCTGAGTCAGTATACTTGAGTCCCACAGTAGTTCCATGTATCATTGCAGGTTGAGGAAGAATCATTTTCTCATACAAGCTTCAGTGGGAAAATCAATTGATTCTATTAGCTTTTTAAAAGGATTGTACTTTATTTCCTCTGGGAATTATTGAGGACATCTTCAATTGGTATAGAGAGAAAATAATTAAATTTTCAAAGGCTGTATCTTTCTTGAGTTCTTCAGCTAGACATATTTTACTTTTGCAAATATGAACATTAACAACCTAAGGAGTTTAGAATTTATTCAATAAATTAAGATGTGAAATTTACTGCTGGATCTGGGTGGATCCTTAAATGAAATATCGTCAAAGTGATTTGCTTATGTATTATTCTCAATAACATGTCCTATTAAAAACAGGTTTATATATGTTTGTTTTTGACAGTGTTTTCACAAATGGAGATATCTTGATACCACCTGTGAAAATCCTTATACCTAAATTTACACTAAATAATTGGAATGGTGTCCTTGGACTTGTAAATGAAAAAGTAGTTCCTCGCTCTGGGGGTATTCATAGGTAAGATAATCTTATAATAACATTCTTATAAGAGTGGCTTAGTATATTAATTTTTACCCCTTCTAAAAGTGCAGTTTTAATTAGATCTTTAGGGCAACTGTGATAATCAGAATACTATTTTGCAGAAATTTAAAATGGTGCAGGCACAGCCTCACACTGTTACTCATTAAAGTGACCTGGCTTTTTGCAGGTTTCCATGTGAGCCTAAGAAAAAATGAGATAAAGTTATTGCAACTCTTAAAACGTATTTATCTTTTTCTCAGGCTTGCACACAATCTGTGCTTGTGCTTGCACAAGTTCTGAAGTACTTCTGAATTGTTTTTGAAACCCTAATCTCTACCACAAAAAGCACTAATAGTTCAGAACAAATTTGCTGCTGAATCAAATGTATTAAAATGCTTTGCAGAATAGCTAAATACCAAGCGCTCTCATAATCAGGATATGAGGATAATAGTTCTCACACACTGTTGTTACCTGGTTGCTACTAGTTGGTGGCTGACTGCTCTAGTACAAATACCACATTCCTTAAGCTCTCAATGCTCCCCCAGATCATTGTTCTCCAGAGAGCCAAGTAACTAGGAATCACTGTTGGGAGTCCCCTCTCCCCATAAACTACACTTTAATTTAGGTTTTACAAAGTAAACATGGTTTATATTAAGACTTGCATTGAGGAGTTGAAAGTTCAAACAGTGGTTAATGTTGACAAAGGAAGAAAGAGGTCTCCATAGGGCCCTTTCTGATTCGTAAACCATAGTTTGGAAGAAGCCGTTTTTTCATTTGTTTTTGCTCTTAAACATTTAAAACTCCTGTCAGTCTGCGTGCAAGTCAGTGGAACATAAGATTTCTACATGAGTCTTGGGGTGCGTGATTTGGCTTACAACTTAAATAACCACGTTTCTTTGCAGCAGTGCCAGCAGGTAGCACTGCGTGGTTCTGATAAGCCATTGTTTCTCTGCACTTGCCTTCCACTTGCATTAAAGATCTAATACTGACTTATACTGAAAGGTTATTTTAATGTATATTGCTTTTTTCCACCCAACCTAAAATTTGGAGTTAAAAGCAATAACTACTAATTTTCTCAATATTAGAACCAGAAAATTATCTGTCTACTTTGGTCATTGTTTCTGTATACTTTTTATAGCCATTGTGTCTTAATTCTCCTTTTATAATAATTCCATTCTGTTCCTTCTTGGGTCCTGAGATTCCTCAAGTTTACCAGTTCTTCTCTCTGTTTTGGTTTTACGTAATTCGTTGAAGACCAAAATTAGAACGCAAAATATAAAAATAAATGATTCATAGTTAGTAAAGTTTATAATGTATTTAGGCATGCTTATACCCATATTAATTTGCTTTCCTTTGTAGATTGTTTACTTTAAATGGTCAGCCTGTATACGGACCTGATAAATTAGAAGATAACCAATTTTATATTGCATGTGGCAAAGAAAGATTCCAACGTTTGCCATACTGGCAGCATCCTAAAGTTCCAGAAAATATTCGTCGGTAAGCTTTCTCTTATCTAAACTGATCTTATGTTGCTGGGTTGCTGGCAACCAGCTCTCTAGCTGAGCCAAACCCCCCTTATTTTTGCTAGAGTTAAGATAAAGATTCATGATTATTTGGATTGTATGTATTTTGCAGGAGTTATTTTTGCTGAAATGAAAAATATGAAGTTAACTTGCAGATTAACTGTTTGAGTCCTGTTTTAACCCAAAGCTTTTTAAACACACTCATTTTTCACTGTTACTTCTGATTTGTTTAATATTAGTTTGCTGGAATAATAAAGTACCTATTTAAAATAGAAAATGATAACTTAATTGTTTCTATGTCAATAATATTGAGTTATAACATTGAAAGATTTTTTTAACAATGGTATCTTTATAATTGTTGCTGTTCCTTTATTTTAACTATTGAAGGCATAGTTCTAATTAATGTTAGTTACTGATTTTGTTTTATTTCACATATAAGATTTGTAAAATATTATAAAGCAAATTCTAATTCCCCTGCTGTGCCACAAGGTACAATAGATACCATTATTTTAAAAAGTAATAGATATATTGTTGATACATTCCATAATTTATAGATTTGGAGATGATTCATATAGAGGATTCAAGAAATACCACTCTGAATCTATTGTATTCTGAATAATCTTCTGCTTACCTTTAAGGAGGTCTTTCTCCTCCATGAAAAAAGCAGACTGAGTTTAATAGGTAATGATAGAGACACTACTCTAAATAGAGCAGAGCAGCCTTTAAAAAGGTGAAAGTTCAAACTAAGTTAGGCTGGTTTTCACCATTTTTCTCTAATATTTCTTATGGTATCTCTCTCTCTTTTTTTACTCCCTGTTTTTATTTCATGGGACTAAACCATCCCTAAACCATCTTCTTCTCTAAATTCTTGATTTGATAAGCTGTAGTAAGGCAGATGTGTTCAGATCTAGTGGGGAAAAAACACTTTATAATCCACCAAAAAGTATCCAGAGATTCACAGGCAACTACTTTCAGTGCACTCAGTTCAGTATATTGCTGGAGATGCAGCTTCAAAAAACATCCATTCTTTATAATGGTCTTTATGATTCACATATGTGGACAGAACTGCATTAGGAACCCTCCAGAGTTGACAGAAATGTGTGATGGGGACCCTGCCTTACATGTACCATGCAATTAGGTACAATTCCTGCTGAACCCCTTCAGTGATGACATGTTTTTCCTTGAGTTCTTTGTTTTGTTAACAGTTATTATATGGTTTATTGCCTTAGAGATCCTGTTTTGCAAAGTGCCAGCATTGCTCAAAAGTAAACTTAGGATGAACAAAAACTGTGGGGCTTTTTGCCTCAGTGAAGATCACGCAGTACATTCTTGTAACTATTCTTCACACTTGTTCCACTGTGGCCACTTTTTGGGAGCAAGTTCAAAAGCAGTAGACTTGAAAACTGATGTAGCTCTCTCGCTTAACCGCCAATGAATCCCCTCCACTTCAGTACATAATCTTTGATGTTTGTAGAAAACTAAAATCACCACAATTATTACCTACTATACCTATGTACCATATTCAACATACACATTCAAATGGAAGGAGAGTCCATCTATTAAGCTTTAGTTTCTTTTTGAAACTGCAAGTAATAAGGAAGCAGAACAGATTATATACAGGGAACAATCTTGTTTTTAAAAAATGAAGCAAAGTTACCTGATCCATTTTTTGTGGAAAAATTTTTCGCAGATTTATTAGCTGCAACTCTGCTGCAGTTGGTATATGTACCCATCATACGAAGCCACCACAGAATGTGGAGTTGGATCTGTTGAGGTGGAACTGTGATCCATAAAAACTTATGAGATACAAATGTATTGTTTTTATGATGCTACAAGATTCTTTATTGTTTAGATATTACCTGATGTTACCATAAAATGTTTTTTCTTCAGAGGCAGGGTATTTACCCATTAAAAAAAACACTGCATAAAAAGTATGCAAGCACGTTTTCTTCTAGATTGGGAGCTTCCTTAATGTCAGTCTACAGAGAACAGTATGAAATAGTGGAAATTGTTTAAGAAATTAGTAGTTTATATAACCAGTGAATATTTGAATATCAAGTGACATTTGTAACTTGAGGAAAGAAGGTGGGGAGTTGGTACTTCTTTATAAACCCAGTGGTCATACAAATATTTTCATGCTTTTCAGTATCATCATACCACATTTTTCTAAGAAGAATGAAGTTGGTAAAAGTAGCCATACAAATGCAAAGTTCAAGTGTTAGTTTATGGACTGTAAAAATGTGTAAACACTGATTGATTGAAATCAGAAGGGCTGGAGATGAGGCAGTAGTTACTTAATGAGATAAAGCTGTTAGGAAGAGTAAATTACAGGTATCTCCAACCTAAAATTTTTTCAATGTGTTTGGCTCAGTAATTTTTCAGGTATAGACCAGGACTCCTAGGCATGCACAATCGTCAAATATCAGTAAGATGAACTAATTACCCAAGATAATTTTTGCCATCTAACTGAAACTTTTATGGGGCTGAAAGATGTAACTGTAAATAAACACAGGAGGTACTAACAAAGGATGTTTTGCTTCACAGCATGCTGGTTTATTTATTAAAAGAAACTTAAAAATGTCACGTGAAACAAGGACCATGAAAGATAACAAAGGGAAAAAATGGTGCCTACAGGCTATATGAGGAGAACGTTCCAGAAATAAAGTTATGGATGGACTGTAATAATAGTAACTAGGGATGTGTTAAACTCACCAATTCAGCAATGAACTGCTTCAGAAAACTCCAGAATGTTCCATTCCCTTCTAGACCTTGCCAAAGTTCCTCCAGACCATGATGTTTTATGGGCGATTTGACAGTTTCTGGAAGTACCGTATTTTTCCGACTATAAGACGATACTTTTTTCTAAAATCCTTACCCTAAAAACTGAAGGGCGTCTTATTCAAGGA